AAAAACCGCAATGTTCTTAACCAGCATACCTGCTATTACCAAACTTGATGGTATCTTTCTCGAAAATCTCATACTAGTAAAGCTCTGGTTCAATAGGACTTTCCTGAGAAAAAGCAAAAAAAAAAAAGTTCATGAGAAACGTTTGATCTAAACCATTATATAGAAACAATAAAGAAAGGATGCAATTCAGCACTCACATTGATGTAAGTCTTATTGGTACTGCCAAGATCCATAATGTAAGGCCTGCAAGGTGACATTAAGGGAAATTAGGTTTTATCTTAAACCCAAAAAACTTGCAAAATTTAAAGCAAAGTGAAAAAGCAAACAGATTTTTACCTCACTTCCTTCCCCATCATACCATCTGGTTTCTCCTTTTCCACTTCCCTGAGACAGAGACAATCACCGTGACATTAATATTAACCTAAAACCCCTCTTCTCGTTAGATCCATGGTCATAATATTTACCTGTACTGAATCACAGCATGCTGCTTGCTGCAAGATGGGTGATCAGTAGGAATGTCTGCGATTCTTCTCTCACGTCCAAATAGATAGCAGCTTTGACGATGGAGCTGGAGTGGCTCTGTTAATCCAACACATATTACAAGCACAAAATCCACGTATCAAGAAAACTGATTTCAGGGCATTAACAGTTGTAAGCAAATAGTAAAGAGAAACAAAATGATAAAACTGTGCTACAATGTTCAAGGATTAAAACTAAAATAGATACAAGAAACCAGTCACAAAAGTATCAGATCATTGTAGTTAGATTGACAAGTTCAAACCAATACAAGGCAATAATTTGGCTAGTATTGGTAATAATGCCATTCTGCATACTCGATCATCAACTATCATCAACTAAACCCTATACCTCGAAATCCGTTGAACTCTCTTAGTCCAATGTTAACAAAGATGGATCTAGATATGGAGTTTTCCATCGGAGATTCTCTGCAGCCGAGGGAGAGAAACGACGGAGAGAGGAGCGACGGGGAGAGGAGAGACGTGGAGAGGAGCGACGTGGAGAGGAGCGACGTGGAGAGGAGCGACGGAGAGTGGAGCAACGGGAAGATGAGCGAGGAGATAGATCTGTAACAACAAAACAAGAGGTGAAAAAGATGAAAAGGGACAGAAGAGATGAACTACAGCAAACCAGCAAAATGGAGAGTAGGTCGGAAGAGGAATACAGCGACTGAGAGAGCGCAGCGCTGTTTTACAGAGAAGGAGTCGAGGTTTCTAATTTAGGTAACAATTAATATGTTTCGTTTATATAATAGGTTAAAAATATCCGGTTAGGTTAATTATTTTCGGTTTATGTAGATATTTTAATTTTAATTTGGTTACGGTTTATGCAGACTTCTTAAATTAGTCTGTAACCCTAAATTAAAACTTATAATAAATATTTTTATTTTTTTTTGGTCTAATTTGAATCAGTTATATTAATTTTTAATTTATATACATCAATATTGTTTATATTTGATTTATGAAAAAAATTTAGCTTAAATTATTTTTATATAATTTTTAAAATTAAAATATAAGGTTTACAAAATAGAGTAGACTTCTTTTGAAGTCTGTAACTCTAGATTAGAATTATTCACTTTTGATGTTTATCTTAGATGGTTTAAAATAATTCATTTTTATTAAATTATAATTTATATAGATCATACTTGTTGACATTTGATTTATAGAAACAAATTTCAGTTTAGATTATTTTTATATAATTTTAAAATTTAAATATAAAATTTAATAATATAGCAGACTTCTTTTACAGTCTGTTTAGCAGATTTATAAAGAAGTCTGCAACCCTAGTTTAAAATTATTCATTTTTGATGTTTATCTTAGATGATTTAAAATGATTCATTTTTATTAAATTCTAATTTATATAGATCATATTTATTGACATTTGATTTATAGAAACAAATTTCAGTTTAAATTATTTTTATATAATTTTAAAATAAGATTTAATAATATAGCAGACTTCTTTTACAGTCTGTTCTGCAGACTTCATTAATATTTGCAGACTTCGCAAGGTTAAAATCGTAATAGAGACCTCCGTTTTTTGTTTACTCATGTAGGAGATAATAGTGATTTCTCTACTCCTTTGACCTATTTTTGCAATAGGTTGAATTTGGGGTATACTTTTGCATTTGGATTCAAATTGTGGCCTATTTTTAGCAATTCCCCCTTATTTTAATTACTATTTAACTGTTTTTTTCTTTTTGTTCTCTTATTTTTTCTGTTTCTTTTCTGTTTCTTTTATTATTTTCAAAAGTCCACCACTTCTAAATTTTACTTTCATAAATAATTGAACCATTTTATTATCACATACTCGATATTTCCTTCTCAATTATATTTTTATTTTATTAAAATTTCACTTCTGTTCTTAACCATATAAGATTTTTATTTAATTCTTGACAAAAATATATTACTTAATGTTTTTAATAATTAATAAATATTAACTATTTTTTAAACAGTTAACACTTAGAAAATATATTTATATTTTATTTAATATTTCATAATATTTTAATTTATATTTATGATAAATTAAATTGACACTGGTAGAATTTTGGGCTGGTTCCGCCACTGCACTAAACATCACACTTTATTAAAAATAATTGTTATAGAAGTAAAACAACACAAATACAATGCATGAATTTCTTAATAACCCAATTAAAAATAAAGACCACATGTTTCAAAACCAAATATTTGACAACTCCATCAAACAAATTTTCTCCAACTCTATTTCATTGTAAAAAGATCATCAACTCCAATTTCTTTGGATTTATCTCATTTAGCTTATTAAATTAATCATTTCCAACATTTCGCCTATGATTCAAACCATCTTTGTAAACAAAACTATTTATTAATAAAGAAAGATTAGTATGCATAATGATAAAATCACTAAATTAGTTTTAGAACTTTTAATAAGAAAAATACATAATATAATCGAATGAATATTTTTATTTAGTCAGAAATTTATTGACACATTTTCGACTAAAAAATGATGGATATTTAAATCTATCAATAATTGGTTGAAAAATTTTGGCCAACATATGTGGTTAACACGTTGTCAAATCGTTCAAACCTCGTATAAATGTATGTGGTATTTGCCATTAGCAGAACAACTAACAAATTATATCAACATATATATATATATATATATATATATATATATATATATGTGGGTGTACAACAGAGTCTATAAATTGGTATCCAGAGCATACAAGCGGAGGTGAAATTGTGCATCTTTTAGATGCAAAAGCTTCAAAACACTTTCAATCAATCAGTGTATCATGATTTCGCCAATGAGAGTAGAAACATACACCTTGAACTATGTACATATTGCTTCAATCCATTTTTGGAAGCATTGTAAGAAATAATCATTGTTGCCACTCATCTTCACACCTTACAGTACACACCAACTTTGTGCATAAAAAGAGAATTTTTGTTCCTCATTATTCTAATTCCAGGTCCTGACCACCTGAATCGATCTCTTAATGTGTTCTTGTAGCCTTTGATTCATGAGTTGCAAGAGTTGTGGAATCATGATGTTCCAGTATACAAGGTTTTATGCTAAACAAATTTTGTGATGAGTTCGGTGCTTATATGAACAATCAGTGAATTTCTTGCATATAGAATGTTATCTGGATGGATGTGTATGGAAGGTTATCATGTCTGCATTGTTAAGATAGCACATATACATTTCACTTAAAAAATGACGAAAGATTTGTTAGTTTGTGTCATAGACAGTTTCTGTCATTTATTAGGAACATAGTTGTTTGTGAGATCTCACTTCCAGAGTTAGATGGTAATTATTTGTGTACACTGTTTAGCAATTAAGGTAAAGAGAAAACTGCCAATTGCGGCGGAAATGGGCATTATGTTGTTGAAGGTTATGGCAATGTGTTACTCAAGCAATTTCCAGATTTGGTTTCTCCAACAGATTATGGTGATGATGATGATGAGGAAGAGGAGTTATGTATGTTTATTTGTATATAAATTTTCACTTTTCTGTTTTAGGATATGAACCAATTTTTTACCAGCTTGGTATATGTATTTTAATTTCAACCATTAAAATTTTGAAAATCTAACATTTTTATAAATTTATATTTTTTCTGAAACTTTTTTTATTATTTAATTTGTCATTAATTGAAAAAAATTATGAAAATATGTCCAATTTTTTGACCTTTTTCTGCTATATTTTCAATCAAAATTTTGAAACCAACTGGTTTCATGATAAATTCAGATCAATATATTTGGTCGAAGGTTATCGACCGATATAGTTAGTAATATTAGTAATATATATTAGTAAAAATCTTTCATCTCATAATTTTTCTAGATCATACTTGTTGACATTAGTAATATATACTTGTTGATATATATATATATATATATATATATACTTTTTGTTCAATATTTGTTATGATATGTCATATAGAGGTTTGTGATAATGTGGTTCTTGATGTGTTATCATTTCTATTCAAAGTCGCACAATGCATTTATACTGGATGTTTTTTTGTTGACAATAAAAAACAGTATTTTTGTTGCTTTTTTTTTTACAAATACTTCAGAAAACATTAGAGGACATGTATATACAATATACTTAATAATATTTTTTTATAAAAATAAACCTTAGGGATTCATTTGCGTTTCAAAAATATACGCATTGTAAAAAATAAACAAAAAAATGCAATATGCAATGCATATAATTTTTTAATAAAAGACTGAAAATGTTTGCTAGATAAATTGTAATTTTCTTTCTTTTTGTTCCGAGTGTTCTTTTGTGTTCCTAATTTGTTCTCTCTGCAAATGATGACTTAAAAGAAAAAATTGCAATATGTATAATTCATATTATTTAATAAATATTATAAAAATGTTTAAATCGCTAAAAAAATACTACTCGATATAAATTGTAAGTTTGTTTTTTCCTTTTTTTCTCCTAGAGGTTTTTTTTTTTCTTCTTTTTCTTTTCCTGCTTTGTTCTCTCGAAGACTTCGTGTTGAAAGAGCGGCCAGTGTGATCTCTCTCTCTCTCTCCCCCACAATAAAGAAAAACTAAACTTCTTCGCTCGTTGCCTAGTCGAGAAATCTCACTGCAATGCAAAGCTGAAACATCACTTCTCCCCTTCAAAACCTCTCCAGGTTGCCAAATCTCTCTCTCTTGCTCCTTCTCTTAATACCGTTTTAGGTAATCCACGTTCGTGTTTCGTGCGATGTCTCGTGCTTTTTGCAAAACGTTACTGATAAATGCTTAGAAATCGAGCAAAAACAATCGGAGATTGATGTGAGCAGACAAAAAAAATCCATCCTTTTTACATGAAGTACCAATCGTTGTAGAATTCGTGTTTTCACGTTTTTCTCTATGCGTTTAAAGATTTCAACTTTATGCTTTGCTTTGGCTTGTCTTCTATTTCCAATGTGATTTAAGACTCGTCTTCTTTCGTGGCTTTCGTCTTATCCCTTTACGTGGGTTTATAGGATCGTTTGAGAATTACATGTCTTTGTTGATGTTTGGGATCGATGTCTTCGGGATGGGGATCCTCTCGTCTGTGATAAGCATGTTCTTAATTCTGGGTCTCTCTCACTATGTGGATTTCTTGGATTTCGCGTTTGTTTCGCTAATCATGTTTCGGATGTTATGCAATTCCTTCCTTTTGTTTACGATCTCAAAGTAGTTGAGTTCTCAGTTTGATGCTTGCGATCTGAAATAGTTGAGGTAAACGTGTTTGTTCTTGAGCATTCTCTTTGCTTTCTTTCATCAGAAACAGATTGTAATTTCTCTAATCGGTGGTTTCAGTGATCTTACGGGCACTGAGAGTCAAGTGTTTAATAATGAATGTATCTTTCCTCATCTGTTCTAATATGATTTTTTTTTTTTCTAATGTGATTTTACCACAAACATAGCTATGTTTTCTGCTTCTTGTTAATTTGATGTTCATGGTTAGCTATGTTTTTAAGGCCTTTTGTATTTGGGCAATGAGTGAACCATTCATTGTGTGAGATCCTCTAATTGTCTTATCTTTGACGCTAGTGTTATAATTTGGTCTCAGATGAATCTTTCTCTTGTATGGACATGATCTTTGACTGTCTTAGCCTATTGTTTGTATGGACTATTTGGAGTTTACACTTTGGTATGTTCTTGAAGGTGTTGTATAACTATGAAATGAGTAAAACAACTATGTGATCTTTTATCTTCACTTTGCCAATTGAGTCATATGGTTTGATAGCGTTTTTATCCAATTTATGCAGACAGTTCTTCTGATGGATGAAGAAAACAGTCACATGGATGATTCTTGTGATGTAGGATTTGTCTGCGGTGATCCAAAAGTTGATATTCGTGTTGGAGATGAATATCAGGTTGAGATACCGCACATGATGTCTGAATCCGAACGTGCAGCGTTTCTTTTGAATCCTCTAGGTTTGGATCTCGACTCTGGTTCCTCTTGTTCCTTTGTCGTGGGACTACCTGTCGAAGTAATGTGGATAGACACCAAATATCAAGATGGACAAGGGTTTGGAGATGATAATGTTGACATGAGCGAGTCTCTCAAATCTCTGAAAACAAAAAGAAACCGCAGAGGCGAGAGTGACTTGAACACGACATCTAAGCAAATAAGGAATCTTGAAGCTGTGCCTGAGAAAGCATCCAGTTCTTGGGAAGATTTAGAAGTAGATGGCTTTGTTCTTGGGCTGTATACATTCGGTAAGAACTTTATTCAGGTGAAGAAGTTGCTGGAGAGTAAAGAAACAGGAGACATACTTTCGTTTTACTACGGAAAGTTCTACAAATCTGCTAAATACAAAATTTGGTCTAATTCCCTTAAGAAGCGAAGCAGGAAATGCATACAAGGGAAGAAGCTCTATTCAGGTTGGAGGCTACAGCAGTTGTTGTCTCGTTTGATACCGAACATTCACGATGAACCTCAGAAAGAGAAGCTTGTGAAAGTAAGTCTTGTTCACATTCTTGCACTGAAAACTTCTTTAAGTCTATATATGTACGTTAACAAGGCTATCTTTACGTTAACAGGTCTCAAAGTCATTTTCTGAAGGAAATACATCTCTGGAGAAATACATCAGTGCGGTGAACGAACTAGTGGGTCTCCGGTCTCTTGTAGAGGCTGTAGCAATCGGTAAAGACAAAGAAGATCTGACAGTCCTCACAACAGAACCCGTAAAATCGAAACAATGGTTCACAGTTTCTTCTGCGGTTGCTCCTGGTTTAGGGGCGTACAGTTCACTCACATCAGATGAAATAATAGAAAAATTGAGTGGTGGTTCCCGTCTAAGTAAAGCCCGTTGCAATGATATCTTCTGGGAAGCTGTGTGGCCCCGTTTGCTAGCTAGAGGGTGGCATTCTGAGCAGTCAAAGGACCGAGGTTACGTGAAGTCTAAAGACCACATTGTCTTCCTCATCCCTGGGGTAAAGAAGTTTTCAAGACGGAAACTTGTTAAACAGAATCATTACTTTGATTCTATCAGTGACATTCTCACAAAGGTTGTTTCCGAGCCTGAGCTTCTTGAGTTTGAGACAGCAGAGATCAGACCACCCAATGGATTCATGGAAGAGAACAACATTTGCGACCAATCAAATCAAGAAAAACGCCGTTACCTCAGGTCTCCAGACTCTTCTTCTACTCATATGAAGTTCACTGTTGTGGACACTACTAGTTTGGCTTTAGGGGGAAAGTTGTGTGCATTTCGGGAGTTGAAGAATCCTAATCCAGAATCTCTAGTCTCCCAATCAAAGGCTTGTGAACGAGATAACAATTCTTGTATGGAAAGATTCGAAACGATGCCGTTGGATATACAGAACCATGCCAAGTTGGCTGATGAACCTAGATGGGAAAAGAGGCGAATGAAGAAACTGGTGGATGACCCGATGAGATTCATGATTGTGGATACAAGTGTGGACCATGGTGGGCAGTCATCCGGGATAAAGAGACGGAGACATTTGCCCGGTGATGAGAATCTCTTCAAGATCAGTAGAGAGGCCTTTAGTGATTCATCTCAGAACCATTCTGGCACAAATAAAGGTGTGAATTGTGAGTATCCTAAGGGGACTGATTCTGGTGTAAAGGAGGAGCCTTTGGAGAACTTCCAACTAGGTCGGTCAAAGAAGAGGTCCGTCCGAAAATCAGAATCTAATATCCATCATTCGGTTAGTTCTCTCCCCTTGCCCAAACGCAGGCGGCTCAGTGCTTGTGTAAGGAAAGATATAAAACGTTCTGGTGAAAGCTCGGTGGTAAACCCACCTGCATTAGACCAGTCAACAAACTGCTACACCGAGTTATCAGTTGGTTTGATGAACATCAAGACTGAGCAGTCAGAAGAAAATGGAAATGGGATTGAGATTCAAAAAAGGCTAGAAACTGAACCAAATGGGTTATGTTCCATATCGGTTATAGACAAGCAAGAAGCTCTACAGGAACTCCGTTCATCAGAAGAACGACTAGAGGAATCAAATCGAATTGTATTCGGAGAGAAAATGTTCTTCCCAAGGACCTGGAAACTGCACAAGAAAAAGAGAAACCGATTCAGCGTCCTCCTTCGGGCGCGGACAAGAAGTCTCCTTCCACTGATCATGGAACTAGTCAAGAAGTGGCAGCATTAGAACAGAAAGTAGGGGAGCAGAACGAAGAGACTAACACAGATCTTCCAAGAAGACAAAGCACAAGAAAACGGCCATTGACGACTCGTGCTCTGGAAGCTCTTGAATCGGGCTTTTTTACAGAGAAGAGCATCAAAACTACATCCAAACCGAGAAAACGGGAAAGGTCTACAAAGATCAAGCATTCGGCCAGTGCGGGTAAACGAACTCAGGGTGAGTTAGACAATGGTTTTCTTGAAAAGGAAACCACAGCAAGTAAACCGCTGGACCAAGAAGAGGATTCGGATCCGAGCTTTCTTGTGAATAAAGCAACAACGGCGAGCAAGCCGATGGATCAAATAGAGGATTCGAAGAAGACCGAGTTCCCTAAACGTCCTCCGATTGTTCTGAAAATTCCCTTTAAGCGTGCATGAAGAAGCGTTGAAGACTGAAGTCTAAATAATTTTTTGGGTGTTTGATCTTAGAGCTCGAACTTGCTGAAGAAGTGTGTATAGGAAGAAGAAAGCTTTTAAGACAGATTTTTTTTTTTTCTTTATTTTTTGCCTGGTGAATCTGATACATATTACATATCCATGGCTAATATCTTATTCTTTTGAGATCGTTTATCTTAAGTCTTATCTAAATCAGAACCGAAATTGTGAAACGAACATGATCTAAGGACTCAGTGTCGATTCCTCTCTTATCAAACTACCAAAGTAGATAGAAAAATATAGGGTTAGGTCAAATGGGTTGGTTTAGATTTCATTTCTGGTTATAAACGGTGTATGATCCAATGTGTAGAATGATTCACATACAAATCATTTACATGTTAGGTACAATTTCTCTAGAGTGTAGTAAAGTCACAACAATGTATATATGTACAAGGCCGGTCTGATTACTGGCAGCTAATCTGCTGTGGCCGCTTCACTGCATTGTCCAACTTCTCGTGACTGCTTTGGTTTAGTTTTTATCCTCGAACCTAGCTCTGCCCCAACTCTTGCAACAATTACAATAAGTTACCAATCTAGTGAATTTAAACTGCTAAACCAAAGTTTTTGATTTTGCTTCTAAACATATTGCATAATGAGTTTTTTGGGACTTACTTTGGATCCAAGACCAGTTTCTGAACCTCTTTGATAGCTAAGCTAGCCCATGTACAGCGATAGCCTTCCAATCTGATCAAAACCCAAAATTTAACAGTTTTAGCAAGATGCATGGTTACTAATTTTCTAAGAGGACCAAGAATATTTTTTTGGTACCTCTAGGATCTGATGTTTTGTCTTGTGGACATTCGGTAAACACCAGATCTCTTCAGCTAGTCACACGGCCTCCACAACACTCTCTGGGAACAAGAACTCAAATGCTAGCCTGAACGTTTGATTGGTTACATATATGTACAAGAATTAGTTATTACGTAGATAAGAGCGAGAAGAAAGTTGATAGATTTCTTTTCTTTTTACCTTTAGATTCCTGACTTGGTAGGGTGAACCAGCCGGAATGAAAAAAAATGAATAAGGACGCTGCTCAAATAACAATGGCTCAACTCCTGAAACGATAAAGCAGAATAAGTGTCTCATCCTTTTAGGTTCCACAGAATAAACAAAAATGTTTTAGCTTTACTTACCAAACTCTTCTTTTAGTTCTCTTGTGGTCTTCGTTTAGGTAATGTCCTTCATACAATGAGAATGATGCCTTAAACCAGAGATATACACACTCAGAAACTCAATCGTTAAAGACACCAAAACTAAATCATTTTTGATGATAACACTCACAAAGTCATCTATCAAATACATAGGCTTATGAAATGTTCTCCTGTACACTTTAAGATACTCAGCTAGCTTTGAATGGTCCTTGCGCCTGAAGATATCCCATTGAGCTCCGCCACAATCAAGTAATGTTCCATTGATTGATCTTGCTTCGAATATTGGAAGTAAATCAGTCTCTTCCACTAGTTTCCTCTCTTTCGTATGTACTGTTCCTTCATATGTGTGCGTTAACACGTATACATGATATACATATCCAACATCCCAATATTATTTTATATTCACTAACTATAACATCGTTAATGATTTTAAATTACAATAACGGGAAATGTATCATGTCAAGCATGTTGTAGTGAAGATGAGTAACTGAATCACCTTGCACAAGGCTTTCATATGTCTGATAAGAGGCCAATGAGGGTCTATAGTACGAAGAAGAGAAAGGCTAAGCTGGCACAGAAAGAGTCGTCGAGTGCTGACGTGGAAACGAGCTAACGGAAAGTCGTCGCTGACGTGGAAACGAGCTAACGGAAAGTCGTCGCTGACGTGGAAAGAGCTTGAAGAAGAAGACTGTTAGAGGATATTAGATAAATAGTAGTTTTCGTGTATGGAATAGTTATCGAGATATTTTCTAGATCAATTGGATTGTGGAGAGTCTGCTCTCTGCGATTTGGGCGATTTCCGAGAGATTTTTCTTGGATTTCGATTTGGTTGAATTGTTATTTGAGAGTCTCAGAAGCTATTCAATCTTGTAAATCTTGTTAAGTGAAATAAAATCTCTACATTTCTCTTAACAATGTCCTGCAAGAAATAGAAATCTTTGGACCTGAATCGTTTTGGAGTAAGTAAAGATGCTACTTGGCTGCAACATTTAGACCACCTAAGCATGGATGTATGTGCTCGAGAAGCGGCAATCTGCTGATGAAATCAGGTATTTGGTAAAAAAAACAAACTTCTCGGAAGCACTCGGGCTTAGCCATTCCCTTAACTTTCATAATAGAGGAAGACCGTTCTCTTGGTGTCTTCCTTCTCCATATATTTTCAAGAACTAGCCAAGTCTTACATCAACCTGTCAAATAGGTAATGGAAAGTAATGAATCACCTAAGCCTGCCATACATAAATATCTGTCACTGTTATACAAGTAAAACTAACCTCTGATCCATCCAAGAAACAGTAATATATATGAGATGTGGGAAGAAGCTGGAGAATCAGATAACATCGGGCCTTGTAACTTGCTTCTCCTCATGAATACTTTTTTGGATTGTTTCGTCTATCTGAAGAGGAAACAAAGAGGAAGAGTCTTTCAAGACACCCTTCTCCCTTCGCTCAAGTTCTCCCATCCTCTTGAAGTTAGGCGTCCATGCTGGAGGAGATGAATGGAGAGCTAGAGGAGAATGCTGAAGAAGTGGAGGAGAGGGGTTTGTCCTTCATTTTTGTGGTATGGGAGATGATTAATGGGCTGAAGGAGAAACTGCTACTAATCGTTTCACCAGCATCCTGTATTTCTTCAAACAAGAAATGAGTATAGAACTGTTTTTGAAATAATGATTTAGAAATCCGATTTACACCTGGCTTTGGAGCCAAGGTATAGCCAAGATTGTGTTGTAGGGAGTTTCACAATCAGCTATGGTGAAGTTGGCCATTTCATGACTTTGGTTGCTGACAGTGGCAGTTCAATGGTTCCAATTGAGGTCGCTGTGTCGCCATTGAACCCTATGAGTAGTGACCTTGAACTTTGGAGATTCAGCTTTCTTATTCTCATTTGCTTTGGGATTTCCAGGAATATGGCATCAACTATGATTTATGTGTTAATTAAAATTCTAGAAATTTCACAATTTATGTTAAAATTCTAGAAATTTTACAGTTTATGGTGCTTCTTGATTGATACGGTCGTATCTCCAAAGATTTTTGCCCTGCATATTATCAAGTTGATTCTTTTCTTTTTCTGGCTTTGTTCCTATTTTGCAGACTCCAATTTGTCTGAGGTGTCATCGTTTGATCCTGATGGTGCAAAAATAATCGATTCTAACCTTGCTATGTATGTTTTCCACGTACATGTTTACAAATATGTCTTTCCACCTGTAGAACTTTGCGGTCAAATGTATGTATCATCAATGATAGTCACAATACGCTTCATTATCCCTTGTGTGCATGTCAGCGGACAGGGGTCTGTCCTCACCACTTGTCTTTGATTCTTTTAGAACCATATATGTTTGCATGCCTCTAGTTTGGTTTTTATCCTTGTGCTCCCTTCTTTCACTTCGGGGGGCATTTGGATTTCCAGTAGGTTAAGATTTTGAGTTCCCATAACGCTCAACAAAAGCTTTAGATGTTGCCTTATTCGCACCTCGATGAAGTGTACATTGGATTGTCGCTGGTTTGTTGACTATCATTTCATCTCTGAACTTGGACTCTTGCCATAATCGCAATTTTAAGGCTGCCAGAGCTATCTCATCATGAGTGTCATAAATTCTTGGTTATGTACGTCTGAAATGAATCTCGAGGTCCTTGTGATAGAGCCTAGACTTCCGCTTCTGAGGCATTCTTCTGAATAAATATCGAGTATAACTTCAAAAAGCTTATCGAGAGGTGAGAAATTTGTCGAAAGATCACATATCAAGTTTATAGAACAAATCGAGGGTTGGTCCTACAAGATTTTTAGCAAAGAGTTTGCATAGCCCAAAATCTTTTTCGTACACGCTGAAGTATGCTCTTCCCACTGTGATCCTAAACATGGTTAAATGCTGTTTAGGATATATATTTCCTTCGTGGGAAGCTTCAGCTTTACCACATCTTTGATTGGTGTGTTCGATTTTAGTTTCAATTTTTTTTTTTTTACAACAGTTTAAGTACCTAAAAAAGCTCAGAAATCCAAACTGGCAGTATTGAGTTTACATAAATCATGTCCTGAGAATAGATCTAAATACTTCAAGGTAAGTTGTCTGCCTTCATATTCTTCGCTCTTTGGACAAGTGAGATTGAAAAAAAAAATGAAAATCTCCTTACTTTTCATGAATTTCTCCACATGTAACTCAAAAGCCGGCCACTTCTCTGGCGTAGACACCATCTTCACCAATTCGGAGCAGTCTGTGACGAACGCTATCTCCAGCTTGTTGTTTGCAATCATACAGTGCATAGCCCATATAAGCGCTTCTAACTCCGAATGTAACGGAGTCAGACTTCGTCTGATATTTCTGGCGCCCATTATATTTTTGTCATTGTCCTCTTTACACTAATTAAAACCAGCCTAACCCAGAGGCTTCGTCCGTCTCCTTCCAGGATCCATCAACGTAGCACCTCCATCCTGAGTACTGTGTAAGCACTCGATCAAGACTAGCTACCAGAATGTGAATGGGACTCTTCATCCCTCTGTTGTGCCTCCTCTCAAATGGATGCCTCTGTTTCCGCTATTTTCAACGTTATTTGTACATCTCTATCAATATTTGAATATATTTTGTCGTTTCTTGCTTTCCAAATATACTACAAAATCCAAGCAAATTGTGTTGTTTGTCTTCAGAATAGATGCTCAAAATGTGATGATATGGGAAAAATATCTGAAGATGTAGGTATCTGTGAGAGTGCCCACATCTGATGTGCTGGTGGACATTCAAACAGCACATGATTTATCGTTTTCTCTTCTGCTCCATATCGTACACATTGTGTATCATAGTTAATTCCTCGACTTTTTAACCTTGCCATCACTTGTAAGCAGTCCGATAATGCCTGCCGGCTATATGAAATGTTTCACCTTTGGTGAGCAATTCAACTTTCATGAATATGCCTGCAGTGCCTTTATGTTTGGACCATAGAAGATTTTTGTGTTATTTTGTGAATACTGTTGTTCCACCTTATATCTTCCTGATTTTGTGAAATGCCATCATAATGCATCTTGTCTGTAGTTACTACTCGTGAGAATTCCTTGACTGATTGCCACATCCGTTGGGTCAATAATGACATTGATCAACCCTAAATTCTATATCTTAGTCATTGGATCAATCAAATGATTGACCATTAAATTAGAGTAATAGTTATACTTTTTACATATGGCTGGCCTCGATTTAATTCTTTATTTATTTTGATTTGTTTATTGGTTTTCAGTTATTTCATTTTTAGTTTTTTTACTATGTATTTTCAATTGTTTTGATTTAAGTTTTTTTTTTGGTTTTCCTTCGCCAAAAAAATGTCGTTTTGGCATTTTTTTTCCTGGATCTCCTTCTTTAAAACGATGGTGTTTGACAATTTGTCCAACCAGGATACTGGTGTGGTATAGTCAACCCGTGAAAGTCATTTCCATTAAAAAGTTTAAAGGTTCACTAACAGAAAATAGGTCAAAACATGAATTAACAAAAAAAAAAAAAAATCAGATTTTAATATTCAAATTTTTATGAGTTTGGATACTAATTTACACACCAATTTTTTTTGCGTACTAATTGGTACCAATTGTTTGTTGTTGTTCAGATACTAAATACCCGATTTCCTTTGTGTGTTATCAGAGAAGTTGGAAAGTAAAATTAACGAAGTAGATATTTTTGAGATATAACATGTTCATTAATCAAAATCAAATCGAAAGTTGATTTTTGTATATATAAATGTTCTTTATCCTAACTCTATAACATTATTGGAAAAGTTGTTTCTATACGTAATACGCTTGCAATTAATCTCAATAAACAAGTGACTAAAACATTAATGAATTCACTTATTTATGATCATATGCCATTATCAATTTAAATTTATTTATTTAAGTGATATTTTAAGATATATCTATAATCATTTTTTTTTCATAACAAAAAACGGACCAAAGTTCATACATCTTTCTAGATCTAGATTAGCTTTTAATATTATTACTCGTCTCAACTGTCACTCGATTGTGTGCCTTCTTGGATTACCCTAAAATATCTTTCCAGTCGAACCATCGAGCTATCTATAATCATATTTTTCTATATATGAGTTAGATGTTTCTTACATTTTCCTTGATTCAACAATTTTAACAATTCCATGAATACGATGAAGTTGTTCCAGCTCAATATATATAAAATATATTAAAAAAAACACTTATCTGTTGTCCTAATAATATATTTTTGATTTTAATTTTTCTTAACTATGTAATAAATTCAAAATAATTTTTTTTAAAAAATTCTAAAAAATAAAAAATACGTAAAAAAAAGATATATATATTTAAAAATTATTTTTTAAAAAAAAATTGAGATTGAAAAAGTATATTTTCTTAGTTGTTCTACGAAATCTAGAATTTTTATTCTTTTGTTCTACGATGTTAGTAGATATCATCTATAATCTACCTAATTTAGAATATATATATATATATATATTATTTTATCTATATTCTACTAAGAGTTAGAATACATCTTCTTATTTTTTTATATATTCTAATAAGTTTTAAATGCATATTCTTTCTTTTTTTATCTCTATATTTTATGTTATATATAATAGAAATTTTACAGTTTTTTACTTATTCTACGGACTGAAATATGTCTCTGCAGTCTCTGCATAAGTAGTTAGGAAAATCTGAGATAATATAAAATCTAGACTAATTTCCCAACCTCAAAAACCTAAGATTTTTTTTTTTTTTTTTTTGGCGTTTCTTTCATGGTTTGCATGTTTCTTCTCCGTTTCTCTAACTTTAGTTTCTCACTTCTTCCTTTCTTTCATGGTTTTTTTTTTCTGATTTTTCATCTAGTGGAGTGAAATTTTCTTAAGCTCAGCTTCCTTGACAGAAAGAGTCGATCGATTCCATGTCACAACAATTTGCGATCTATGATTCGATCTCTTGTTGTCACCTGAATGTTTGCTTCGATTTCCAAATTGACTTTGACGAACCAATCACCTTGAAAACTAATTTTAAGAAAGGTAACCTGATCAAGCATGTTCTTGTGAAAGGAGATTTGGCACAAATTTTTCAGTAAGAAACAATTTAATGGTCCTTTTGGTCGTAAATGTTCTAATAAGAATGTCCATGACTTTTAAAGCTTACGGTGTTAGTTTGTGGCCAAGGAGGAACAAAAACTAAATCATAAGATTCAATATGCATTATATAATAACAAGTACGAAAATTCATTTTTTTACACAAACACAAATGCTTTTATTATTAAACATTGAACAAACAGAAATACCAACATTTACATCCAAACTAAAGACACAAATTAATACAGGATACTAAATCAGAACAAAACCAAACAACATAAAACAACAGCTTTTGTTATGTTTGGATGTCAACATCGCCAGAAACTTATTTTAAATACAAATATAAAAATACAAACACAAACTAAATATGGGGTCAAATTCTTCCTACAATTTTTTTTTAAGCAAACATCATGCAACAATTATGAGTAAATTGGTGGAGCTGAACACCATAGTGTTTTAATTCCTCCCAAAGCTGCTTTTCCACATCTGGAATGACATGTGTAAACCACTATTTTTCTATGCCAAGATTGAGAATATTAAGGTTCAATCACCAAAAACCTATCTCCAATTGACTTAAACGCAACTCTCTAACCTAAGGCGACATTTTCTCTCACAGGCACAAAACCAAGTCTCTTCCAAGTGTTCGTGTTTATATCATAAACACGAAGCTCGTTCAAAGATGTTTCCAATGAGTAGAGACTGTCGCTGACCACTGCAATGAGGAGGAGATTCGGAAGACGTGAACAATATGTCTTTGAGCATGTTTGGTATCAGCTCCCAAGAATTTGTCCCCTCATGATATTGTTCTCCAGAAGTTAGATATTCATTGTTCTAAACAGAATTTTCTTCGTTTATGCATTTCATGAATCACAGTCCAAATTCTGGTGTCAGCATTTTACTACTCCGATATGTTCACAACCTCATGACCCCTTTATCATTTACGTTGATCCCTCCAGCAAAAAAAAAAAAAACATCTATTCCACACCTTGCAGAACCGTACATAACCCTTTATGTGTTCATTGCAAGATCTTAGAACCACTTATGCTTCTTTAGCTCGTATCACTATTGATGGTTTAGAATTTAAAATTTGATGATATTAGCGTTGGCAATATAACTTATGTTAATTGATATATATTACTATGAGTTTAAAACTCTTAGTGTAGTTGCATATACATTTTTAAAGTTGGGATGTGTTGTTAAGTGATGGGCAATACTTCGTGTAGCTGGCAGACATTTTTTCAAAAAAAAAAAAAAAAAGAGAATACAATACTGATTGAAAATTTGAATGGTAATAATACTCCATAATACTTTTGGTAACAGATTTTGTGATTAAGTCTTAAGATGGAACTGATAGAGACCTATGCAACCTACAGATAAAACCTCCATGGAACTTTTGAATGCTGGGGTGGCAGATCTGGAGGCCGTAAGAGAACGCTCATTCTTCCCTAGGGATGGCGTAGTTCAAATTCGATTGTTTGTTTTTGCAATTTTCCGAAGTGATGGTGTATATGGGAAACTTTGGTTACTTTGAGGTTTGTTTTGCAATTTGTTGAGGAGAAAAAAAATTACCAGAGAAAAAGCTCATATCTCCATTCTTTAAAATAAAGTCATAATGAATTCCCCATAATCTTTTGCCTTCCCCAAACACAAAGTACTCTCTCTTTCTCTCTCTCCCTTCCGCTTCAAAGATCTAACAAGTTTTTTTCTGTGTTCTGAAATGGCAACAGAAGAAATGAAGCCGGCAACTAAGAAATCAGAACAGAAGCAGTCCACAGAAGTCAAAGATCTTCCTCCTCCACCTCTTCCACTTCCATACAAGGTACTTATTTAGTTACCCTTCATGCATATAAAAGTATAGGTTTGAATGCTTGAACTCAATAATCCATGTTTTCAGTTTCTAATCTTTACTTTTTTAAGATGAATCATCACAACAAACCTTTGATTATTGCAATAGTTTAACTAATTTTTTTTTCAATTATATCTCTTGAATATTTATCTTTTTGGTTAACTATGAAACAATTTTCTTTTTTTTGAGTGTTCTATTTATTTTTGGACTCGCAGACATGCAATTTGAAAGTTTCCATTCACTGTGAAGGCTGCAAAAGAAAAGTGAAAAAAATCCTTACCACCATTGAAGGTAACATATACATAAACCTTTTCATTTCATTTATTTTTACTTTCGTAATAACATTTTTTATTTGTCTTTGTGGTTAATTTGGTACTATGATTCATTCAAGTTTAAAAAACAATTAGAAGTACCACTAGCTATTATTTTCTGTAGAAATGTAGTATAATTTATTATGGAAGTTTAGCTAATTTTATATTATTATTACACGACTAATTTGATTAATTTATTATTTACGGACATACAATTGTGATTTTGGTATTAGGTGTTTATAGAGTGGACATTGATGTGAAGCAGAATAAGGTAACGGTGATCGGAATTACTTCACCGGAGATTTTGTTAAAGAAGCTTCTCAAGTCAGGCAAACACGCCCATCTATTGCCGGAGATACCCGACCCGGTAGAGAATAAACCTGTCGACCCGAAAGAGAACAAAGCCGTCGACCCGAAAGGGAAGAATAAGAAGAAAAAGAAGACCGAAGAAAAACCGGAAGTAACCGATACTGATAAACCGGAATCTGATAACCCCGATGCCGCTGGAGAGTGTAGTTCCGGCAACGGCGGTGAAACTTGTGATCCGGTGAAAGAGGAGAAGAAGGTCGTTGTTATAGAGAAAGTTTCTGTTCCGGCTGAATCTCCAGCACCGTCACCAGTGGACACTCCGGCGCCGGCGGAGGAGAAGAAAGCTGAAGAAAGTAGTGGCAATGTTGGTAAAAAGAAGAAAAAGAAGGGGCAGAAAATAAGCTGTGATAACAACTCTAGCGGTGGGCCTGTCCGCACTCGATCACTTCCTCCGCCGCTCATTACACCTGAAACAGATCACGACCGTCCATTTAATCGGAACGATGGCCATCGAAATTTGGCCAATAACAATCCGCCACCTCATGATATGTATCATTATCCACCAAACTACTTTGCACCGCAGATTATGTACGGCCTATGTTATAACGTTGCTCAACCTCCGGTGAGTATAGACGGGGCGTCGTATTACTCACCTGCGCCACCGCACGCGTACGCTTATATGCACCCGGGATATCTACCGTCCGATCAAAACCCTTTTCCATCTCGACCGTCCGATTCGTTTGAGCTATTCAGCGACGAGAATCCAAACGGTTGTTCGGTGATGTGATTGAGAACCAGGAAGGAAAATAACGAGAATGACCTATAACTTTTTCTTATACACCTTGTATGAGTAAAGGGTGGTCTCGTAATTTAAACTTGTAGACTTGGATGTGAGCTAATGGTCTTATGAAAGAAAGACTTTTTAGTTAGGTTTAAGACTATGATTATGATTATGTTAGAGAAAGTGATAAGCGTTGTCCAGGAAAAAAAAAAGATATGCTTTTGTTTCTTTTTTTCCGCTGCTTTTATTTTAATATTAATGATTTAGATACTTTTAAATAACTTTTTAGATTAATTTTTATTTATTTATTTAGGTACTTTACTTTTTCTCTATTTCCTCTGTTGTTGATGGGATCCTTTTACTAGTTAATTTAAAGCTCCCAAAAAAAAATATTAGTTTGTGATTAAACGATATTGTTGAAGTGGAAAATATACATGAAAGCAAAAAAAGTGGAAGATGCATTGATGCAATGCTTAGTTGTAAGGGGAAACTATATGATGTGTAAAGTGGAGCAGCTGACTGGTCATTTTTATTTTATAATTTTGTTTTATCCCAGTGACACATCTTGATTAAATATAAAGTTTTTTTTTTCTCTACCTTTGCATTCATTTTTCATTTAGTAATTTAATACTTCCAAAATTCTTTACATTCAAAAGCTTGCTAAGTGATTGCACAAAAACTTATAGCATGACTTAAATTCGTTTTTTTTTTTTATATATCTGAATCCTGTTGGTAACAACATTTGCAAAATGAAGATTCAGCGTAACATTTGATATTTTGTAATAAGCTGAACTGAATCTTCATTTTCACGACTTATACAAGTTTTTGAAATATATTGAGTAATATTAGAAATTTTCAAACTAATCGGAAACTTTAGAAAAATATTGTTTACTGTATCTCTTGTTCCTAAATAGTTCATCCGTTTCAAATTATTATATGTTTTGAGTTTTGAACTATATATTAAAAAGTTTATATAAATGGCAATTCCAATCTTATTTATTATAAACATAAAGAGAAGGAAACGAATATTTCAAGTTTGCAACACAAAAAAAAAACAGAAATAAATAAAGAGATAGTAGAAAATATAGAGTTATTATACATAAAAATAGAGAAAATACATGAAAATGATTTTTGAAAAAAATTATCAGTTTAAAGCAGAAGGTTTTTTTTTAAAAAAAAAACATTACATGGAATTGCAAACATTAATGTAAATGTGTTCCAAGAATTAAAAACAAAAAATAAGCACATTTAACTTTACCTCACTCTTAAACTTGTTTTTGGCAGGTTCTTTATCTCTTTTGCGCACTCTTCACTTTACCACTCTTAAATTTGTTTTTGCCAGTTTCTAAATTTGTTCGAATATTTTTTTTTTTGTTTTCTGTCTCTTTACATTGTTACATGTACTAGTCGAAGATAATACTACAAGCTATACCATAGCGTATGCCAATTGGGCATGGGCCATGGGGACATGTAAATTTATGTGATTTTTACATTTAACTTCAAATTTCATTATCCTTTTACAAATAAAAAACTTTAAATTTCATTCACATGTATTGTGTAATATTAAAGGCGCATATACATCTTGTCGATAAGGAAAAAAATATTAAAGACTCATGTACTTTTTGCTTTTCTTTATACTACCAAGAGGCAAGAAGTTAATTATGGGCTTCGATAAATGTAATTGTTATTAAAAAAAAATGAAAGCTGAAAAAGTGCAATGCTCGAGAAAAGTAGGGAGGTTTTAGGAGAGGGTAATGTACAAAATTACATATTCATTTCTCATTTGTCTACTATCAATTACGTCAGAAATATGTTACGTAAAAACAGTACTTAACGCTTTTATTATCTTAAATACTGTCCTTTTCATTTCAACATGTATTCATTTATGTTAGAAATTGTAAGAACCCTGAATAGTCACTTCTATTTCGCTAGACTGACACGAACATAAAATATTAAATTCTGTTGATTCAGAATTAAAAACAAACGAACAAAAAGGTTCAAAAAAAAAAAAAACTAATAACAAACTTTTTTGGTAAAAGACACAAATCACATAGATTATTATTATGCTATCTATATTCAAAGTTTAGCTTATCTTTTAAAGTTGATAAAACCTGCTAGAACAAATATAGAGAGACGAGAAATAAACTACGAAAATTAATTAAAAGGAAAATACCCTAAATATATATAAATTATATTAAATTTGGAAAAAATACACAAACTAATTTGGTTTCTTAAAAAATATATAAACTTTATACCAGATCTATTTTAATATTCAAACTATTAATAACTTTCTATACAATACTCAAACTATTAAATTTTTGTATATTTTTAAGAATTTATATTATAAAAATTCAGTATTATCTTTTTTCTAAAACAAAAATTTGTAATATTTTGTGTATTTTCAACCACAATTATGATCTTCGTTGTATTTTATTGTGGCGTTCAAATGTCAATTTTTCCAAATTAATTTTTCCAAATTTTAATCCATGGATTTGGAAATGAGAATGAGAATGAAAATCTAATAGCTTTAGTTAACTGAAAAAACTGTTGTTCTGATGCCACATTTTAATAAGAACCGTCCTAAAATTGTCACACACTAGGTTCGGTGGGGGTTGATAGATCCTTAATTCCAGATCGTTTCGGAGAGAAAGATGCTAAGGCGTGAGCGTAAAACCGAATATCCTTAAGTCCAATTTCAAGGAAAAACACAAAAACAAGAGGATGGAACAAAGAAAGACAAGGGTCGCGATATCGAATGTTAGGGTGTGAGACAAGTCCCGAAAATTCCTAAACCCCGGATATGACTACGATCTCTCTCTCACTCTTTGTAAGTGAAGGCTGCGTCAAGTAGGATGTTAACTATTTGATAAAGAACGATCAAATGGCTAACCACCAAATATCGAAGAAGTTCACGAAGAACAAAAGAGAAAAGTCAAAGATAAATTTTATTAAGAGAAAAGTGATGATCTCAGTCTGAGTACAACGATGCCTTTATATAGAGGCATAAGAAGACCATCGGTCATACATAGGAAATAAAAGAAAATAAATTAAAAACAAAAAACGTTGAATAACGATCAAACTTCCGTGAATGACCCTTCGCATCCTCTTGATAAAACTCTTGAACTTCTAAGCGTTGTACCAAGCCGCGAACGAACCATGGTTGTGAGATGGGTGTTGCCTTAACCTCGTTAAAACTCCATTCGATAAACCCAGTGGGACAAACCCGAATGCAAGGAAAAAGAGTATTATAACAGCACCCTAACCAGGTTAGTTCGGACCTGAGTACATGATCATGGTCATGGCCTTGTGATTTGGTGTTGGGTCTGTTACTTGGCTTTGGCTCCTAAGACCGGTGAGCACACGCTGGATCGCTCCCGTAAGCATTTTGGTACGTGATCTGGTCATGGGACCGGCTGGCACGACCAAGACATCATCTGGGTCGGTAGCTTGGTCTTGTCCCTCGGCCTGAACCACGACTTGTGTCTCTTCCTTTGTTTCCATCGGTTCCATGATTCTATCATCCTCCCCTCTTGAAAAGTACTTGTCCTCAAGTCTGCTCCATCTGCATGAAAAGGAATGATATCAGCGATATTAAAACTAGAACTGACGGAATACTTACCTTGGAGATCAATCTTGTAAGAGTTGTTGTTGATCCGCTCCAGAATAGTGAATGGTCCGTCCACTCTCGGCATAAGCTTAGACTTTCTTTCTTCCGGAAACCTTTCTTTCCTTAGGTAGATCCACACTTGATCTCCGGGCTCAAACACCTTTTTGGTCTTTCCTTTGTTGTTGTATTTCTGGAATTGCTCCGCTTTTCTTTCGATGTTTGCCTCGCTTTTTCGTGCATCTTCTTCACCAAGTCTCCTTTCTTTTTCCCGTCCATGCTTTCACGCTCGGTCAATGGTAAAGGGGTTAGATCCAAGGGCGTAAGAGGATTAAAACCATATACTAACTGAAATGGTGAAAACAGAGTGGTAGAGTGAATAGCACGATTATAAGCAAACTCAACATGAGATAGACAATCCTCCCAAGTCCTAAGGTTCTTTTTGATAACCGATCACAAAAGAGCTGACAAGGTCCTATTGACCACTTCTGTTTGACCGTCGGTCTGAGGGTGACAAGTTGTGGAAAAACACAGTTTGGTTCCTAATTTAGCCTAAAGAGTCTTCCAAAAATAACTAAGGAACTTAGTATCTCTGTCGGACACGTTGGTTCTAGGGACCCCATACAAACGAACGATATCTCTAAAGAACAGGTCGGCTATGTTTGAGGCATCGTCAGTTTTATGGCATGGAACATAGTGGGCCATTTTAGAAAACTGATCTTATATGACAAAGATAGAATCCTTACCTCTGCGGGTTCTAGGTAACCCGAGGATAAAGTCCATTAAGATGTCGGTTTATGGCTCGGTTGGGATGGGTAATGGAGTATACATACCTGCGCCTTGGCTGCGGGCTTTGGCAAGCTTACATACCATGCACCGAAGACAAATCCGTTCTACGTCCTTTCTGAGATGTGGCCAGTAGAAATGGTCTTGGACCACACTTAACGTCTTAAGGACCCCAAAATGTCCCATTAAGCCTCCTCCGTGCGCCTTCCTGACAATCAAATCCTGTAAAGAAGTGTTAGGTATACATAGTTTATTTTCATGAAACAAGTAACCGGCACTCTGGTAATATTTGCCATGGGCAAACTTAGAACTGGCGAGAAAAACTTCTTGGAAGTCAGGATCGGTCGCGTAGGCCTCCTTAATCATTTCAAACCCAAGTATTTTGGCATCAAGCGTAGTGATCAGGGTATATCGTCGAAACAATGCGTCCGCCACAACATTTTCTTTCCCTTGCTTGTACTGGATTACATAAGGAAACGTCTTGATGAACTCGACCCATCTTTCATGTCGCTTGTTCAATTTTTGCTGCCCTTTGAGATGCTTCAATGATTGGTGGTCAGTGTGTATCACGAATTCTTTAGGCCACAAGTAATGTTGCCACGTTTGTAGGGCCCAAACCAGAGCATATAGTTCCTTGTCGTAAGTCGGGTAGTTGAGCGTAGCACCACCAAGTTTTTTGCTAAAATAAGCGATTGGACGCTTTTCCTGCATGAGCACTGCTCCAATCCCTACACCGGATGCGCCACATTCTATCTCAAAGGTCTTGAGAAAGTCGGGCAAAGATAATAGAGGTGTATGGGTAAATCGGTGCTTAAGGGTCTTGAATGCTTCTTCCTGAG